GATGATGGGGGGGGGGGGGGACAAATCAAGCAATTAAGAAAAAAGAGAAGACTCGCCTTCAGGGTGTTTCAGATCTGAGATCACCAGACGTTCCGTATCAGCACTGCAGGACCCAGACCTCGACAGGTTAAATCTGTCTGTTACCAATATCACACCTGCCTGTTTGTAATCGAGGAACCCAGCATCGAACTGAGACACAAATGTTGTCGTGCAGGACTCCATGTTACTGGAAATGACCAGAAAAAAAACAAAACAATTACCTGGATTACTTGGAGGTGTCATCTCTGAGTAAGAGGTTGGCGTGTAACGATCCTCCATCTTTCACGGTATCGAGCTGCTGTTGCACATTCTGCCCTATCCATTCCAGTCAATGTTTTTATGTTGTCAGTCCATGTTATTATTTGCCTTCCTCAGGCTCTCCTGCCCCACACCTTTCCTCCCAGCACCTCTTTCACAATTTCGTGTCTTTTTAAATGGCTATGGTATTGTATTATTTTACATTTTACTATTTCTCTTTGTTTGCCTTATTTGTTTTCCAACTTATTTTGGCTATTCTACGGTAGCACCACATCTCAAAAGCATTTATTTTATAATATTCTTCTGTCCTTGTCAATGTCCATGTCTCTGCGCCATACAGGAAAATGGGGAAGATCATTGCCTGGATTTAACTATTTTGTACATTAGGCAGAATCTTGATTTTGCAGCTTTGCTGTTCTGATGTTCCTTTCTATTTCATTTCCTCCATCATCTGTGGTTGTTGTCCATAGATACCTGAATTGGTGCGCTTGGTCCTTTCTCTCTCCTTTTATGGTTATGCCTGTTGTTTTTTTCTGAAGATTTTGATAAGTCATTGTTTTTGTTTTCTTGGCGTTTATATCGAGGCCTGCCTTGCTGCTGTTCACTTTCACTTCTTTCACACTTTTAGAAAGATACTTATGTAATGACCGAAGAAAAAGGAATGTTCAAGTGTAAATATTATACTAAATATGATATCGTAAAGCGATTTGTAATTTGTATAGGGCATGCTGTTCAGGGTGGATATACCTTAGATGAAATTATTATTATTACAACTATTCTTCTAGTTCTTCTTGTTTTTCTTGTTCTCGTTCTTGTTCTTGTTCTAGTTCTCTTTCTTGTTCTTCTTCTTCTTCTTCATTAGTTTATTATTGTTATTATTATTATTATTATTATTATTATTACTATTATTAAATTCAGAGGCAAAAGAAACGCTACTAATTAAGACATAAATAAAACAAGTTTGACGTTTCTGTTTCTTACAGGTTAAAGATAAGGCTGCCTTACACAATATTATTATCATGTTGCATTGTTTCTATTCAACATGTAATTGTGAGTATTACAACTGACAGTACTTACAGTACATTGTCATGTATTGGGCGTAATGGCGGGGGCTTGTGTTGGGCACGCTTCTTAATTGCGATTTTACGGAGTGCGAAGAGTAGCAGCAGAAATGGAAGAGGAATATCCAGGAATATAATTCTATGGTGAAGACATACTTAACTTCTACACAACGACCTACCTCATGTTCAGACTGGAGATGGTTGGGCTCTGAAAAAACACATCCAACATGAGGATCTGGGGTTCTGTTGGCCATCCACAGTTGTCTGCCATGGACACTGAGAGCACGACACAGGGAAAATTATAATTATAATAATACATGTAATAATAATAGTATTTATTATAATAATAATAATAATAATAATAATAATAATAATAATAATAATAATAATAATAATAATAATAATAAATTTTAAAGAATAATGATTATTGTTATTATCATTATTACTATAATAATAATAATAATGATAATAATAATAATAATAATAATAACAATAACAATAATAATAATTAATAATTAATAATAATAATAATAATAATAATAATAATAATAATAATAATAATAATAATAATAATAATAATAATAATAATAATAATAATAATAATAATAATAATATACAAAAAATTATAATCATAATTATAATTTTAAAATCCTAATTATAATTTATGATAAGTAAACAAATGTTGGGGCAGTGGTATAAAAATTATCCACTGATAAGATATGATGACCTTTGCAAGCTTTGTTCATGTATCGATAACCTCGTCTTTTCATCAAATATATTGTCAGAGCGATTTGAAGAAAGTTGGAAAGCACTGAGATAGATGATCGACTGCCATTCTCGTTGTATTGTTTACGAGACACAATGATTCTGTGTTATGTTATTTAAAAGCAACCATTTTAAAGTAGCCTTAATCACTAGAGGTCGATGTTTTAGTAGATTTTTGCTAGAGTTCTAGGACGTTTGCAACTGCATAGATTCATATGAACATAGGTCGATGTTCGTTAATATTCGGAGTAAGCCTACATTATGTGGAACGAAAAAGGAATTCAGGAAAAACTGGATTCTGTTATTATAAAGAATAAACCATGAAATACTTGTGTTTGAATTAAAAAATGTTCGTCTCTCTCCTGCATCTCTTCGTGTCACTCTCTCTCTCTCTCTCTCTCTCTCTCTCTCTCTCTCTCTCTCTCTCTCTCTCTCTCTCTCTCTCTCTTTCTCTCCCTCTCTCTTTCTCTCTCTCTCTCTCTCTCTCTCTCTCTCTCTCTCTCTCTCTCTCTCTCTCTCTCTCTCTCTCTTCAGAAGGGCCACGAAAAAGTTTCTTTCACCACCAATCTGAGTCTTACCGGGAAGAAATGAAAGGAGAAAGAAGCCAGACATCAGGAGCACAATATTCAGAGCGGCATTCTTGTCTGTCAAACTGCTTATCTTCTTATGCGGGTTCGACATCTCGATTTATGGGATCTGAAATCAAAAAGAAAAACAACCTAAAAACTAAGACAACCAATTAATTGTACTCATACTTAAAGGTCTACCTTTAATGTCATCTCACCTGGAGGAAAATATGTAGTTGCAAAAGTTATAAAAGTCTAATGCAACACTAAGTTTTTTGTCTGGGGGGAGGGGGGGTGGGCGGGGGTATTTATCTTTTTGCTTTGTTTTGGGTTTGTTGTTTTGGGAAGAGGGTTAACAGGTACGACAAACCCTTTTAACTACATGTACTATCATAAAATGTCATAGCAAGGTAAAAAATATGACACGGCTGTGGGTGAAATTGAAACTTTCATTCCTTGTGTCAGCCTTGTGTCGACAAAGGGTGATTCGGCAACCCGTCATTCTGGAGTATTGTTTTGAAAGGCAGTAAAATATCAAGTTTTGTCAAATGTTCAGGAGAGCCAAAAATATTATATTATATCTTTGCCTCTCAGTAGCCAGTTTCTTTAAATATCTTCAAAACACTTTCTCCGCCTTATTCATTACGATATCGATACCATATTAAGGCAGAAAAGTGGGCCGTGTTTTAAACTATCACGCGGAAATGATAACTCAATTTCGTCCAAAACTGGATATCTTCTGCCTCTTCTTTGGGTGTCAGGTCTGGAGCAGACATTGGCGATTATGGTGCCTCATTCTTCCCTCTTGTCTGCCTTTTTCATCAGCTCGGTTGTTTTGCTTTTGTGTTATTCGTTGCAAAGTTATTCAGGCTATCTGTGTATGTTGTTCTTTATCTTCATTTGCTCGTCATTTCTTCTACCTTTCCAAACAGCAGCATTTCCTCTTGTCAATAATTTGATCTATTTACGTGGCCAAAGAACCTTAATTGTATTTTTCTGATTATGGATTTTCCACATCCTGCCTTTCGGAGCACTTCTCTATTTGAATTCCTCTGGATATCCTGTCTTTTAAAATAAAACTCCAGCATTGTTGACTCACCCTGGGTTTGGTAATTTTGGCGAACAGTAAGGCCCTCCCCCCTCCCCCGCTACAAACACACACACACACACACACACACACACACACACACACACACACACACACACACACACACACACACACACACACACACACACACACACTTTGAAAGCTTCAGCTAGTGTCCTTGGAAACTGCTGAATGTACATTGTTATGTCTTTTATCAACTTTTTCAGTAAAATCCACACAACAATCTGTTTTTGAAGGGACATTTAAAGGTGCTGAGCTGGAAACGAAAAATTCTACATAGGTTGCCAAACCGGCGAAAAAATGCCGGAATCCTCTATTTCATCATTTTGGCGAGCGCATGATTTCACCACAATACCTCACAAATGAATTATAAGCTCTAAATCTTTTGTCACTATCGACAGAATTTAAATCATTTAGATCAACGTCCGTGGTGTTGCTGTGAGACGCTGGGTTTTTTTCATCCAGTATGTTGGGTCTTTTTCCTGGCATGTTTTATCTCTCAGCCTGGGATGGCACTGATGAGCAGGATCAGAAGTCAGCCTTCTAAATTATATAAATTGTATCGATGGGGGGTAAAAAAAGGTATAAACTTCCAGCAGTTTTTTTAATTACTATTTTGGCTTTTTTATTGTATTCCATGCGTCCTCCATATCCCCAAGTCTCCGGCAATAATCTATTAGCTCCAGATAGGCATATTATATACAAAAGAAAGAAAATTGGGTGGTCCTTCTGACCTAGTCAACAGACTTCATTTTTGTCAAACTCTCTTGAGGTGTGACCTATTTACCTTATTACTAAAATAGAAGCAATAATAAAATTCATACTCCCCCCAACATTCAAAAAGAAGGGGGAAAAAAGTGTTTCAGAATTTAGATTTCCCATTTATTTCATGAAAAAGTGCATTCAATTTTGCATGTTATGTGTCAAAGAATCACCTTTCGGTTGGATTTTTGTTTCAATGAAGGCCATTCTAGTACATCCTACAATGTTCAGTTGTTGCCTTTGAAGCTGGAAATTTCATATCATGACTTCTTACCCTCAAGCTTCCTGCAATAATTTATCTGTTCCAGATAGACATAAAACTATTGGTAAAAGAATTGTATAATTGTATAGTCTTTCAGACCTAGGCAAATAGATTTCATATTTGCCATGCTCTCTTGAGGTGTGACCTGTTATTCTAGTTACTGAAATTAGTTGCAGAGACAGAATTCGGACTTCCCCAACATTCATAAAGAGGGACGGAAAGCGTTTGATAATTTAGAGTTTACATTCATTTGATAAGAAGGCACATTTAATTCTGCATGTAATGTGTCAAAGACACTTCATCATGTTGAAAATAAAGAAATGAGGGCCGGTCTTTAGGTGCAATATACAAATTCTCGGTTAATGCCATTGAAACTGGAAATTTCGCTTCCTGACAAATGCCTTCAACAAAGAAACACCAAATGACTCAGAATGTATTGCAATGATATGAATTGATGAAATAATTTTATACCATACTTGGAGCTGTTTTAGCATTGCACTTCCGGTAAAATATATCCTTATATTTCACGAGTGAAATATAGGCTGGCTGAGCTGAAATCTCACACGTGAAATATAAAAATTTGCATAAATTACTCTTCGCACTAGATCTATATTCGCCTTCTACTTTTATCCCTCTGTGTAGGCTAAGCAAAGTAGCCTAGATCTACATGTAGTAAAAACTTAAAAACTTCGCTCCAAAGCGCGCTCATCATGGACAACCAAACACTTCTCCCAGTCTTGCTGTCCCTTATAGTCGAGTATAGGTGCAAATCTTTCTACGTTGCTCTTAATTTTGTTTCAAATAGAGTCAAATGATGGGCACATTAATGAACCGGGATTACGCCAAAGTATGGTGCTGCTACGTTCGGTTCATTTATTGAATAAAATAATCAAAGGGTGGACAATAGATCTCAATACATTTTAATTAGATTTATCAAACAAAATGATAGATTTACAACACAACTAAATAAATAGCACCACTTTGGCACTTAGAATCTAGATCTAGATCTAGATGTTAACCCTAGGTCACCCTAGGTCTAGAGGCTTATATCAGCTTGAATAAATGAAATGATCATGAAAGATTTACAAAAGTTTGAAATTTTGTAGTCACTTTATCAAACAGTAAAAAAGCCACTGTTTAGATCACTTGCGTTGCCTTTTGAATTTTCGTTTACATTAATTCTATCACTACATATACTAAATGATCAACTATATAAATGAAAGAAGATTAAACTTTAAAACAATATGTAATTGATAAATATGATGTTAGTCAATATACGAGTATAACACTCTTGGATAATTACTTTTTTTTGGAAATACTAAAAGTTACTTCCTTTGTTATTCTGATATTCTTACCTCCCCTTAAGAAATCCAGAATATCGGAAATCGATAGACAAAAACTAGGTATCTAACTACATATTTAGAATTAGCACATCAATATCCAAGAAATCAAAATCAAAGTCATCTCTGTTCTAACAAAAATATGCTAGATTTATATTAATGCAGTTTCTTTCAACTTTTGAATCCTACACTTTCTGATTACTTTGCTTATATTTACATTATGATAGTTTTGTTTGGGGTTTGTTTCGCGGAGGGAGACATACGGATAGCACAACTTGTAAATTAGCGTGGCTAAAAGTAAAGGAAAACAATCCAGATTTTCCCCAATTCTCAATCTGACTTCGACGGGCATGAAAATGTTGTTTTCATGTGAGACTTTAGAATGCATCCTCTTGTCCAATTGACGGGCCCTTTGAACTTTGTTGGTGCGGACGTATTTCGCCAGTTGATGTCAGTATGGTATAAAAAAAATTTATTTCACTCGTTGTGGTGTTAGACCATGATTTATCCTACTTGTGAAATTGCAAGTTATAATCACTCGTTGAAACTCGTGATTACAACTTGGCAATTTCGCTCGTGGGATAAATCATGATCTTACACCACAACTCATGTAATAAAAATAATTTAATACATGAGTTGTGGTGTTAGATCATGATTTATCCTACGAGTGAAATTGCCAAGTTGTAATCACGAGTTTCAACGAGTGATTACAACTGGCAATTTCACAAGTAGGATAAATCATGGTCTAACACCACAACGAGTGTAATAATTTTTTTATACCATACTGATATCAGCTGGCGAAATATGTCCGTATGAACAAAGTTCAAATGACCCGTCAAATGGACAAGAGAATGCATTCTAGAGTCTCACATGAAAACAACATTTTCAAGCCCGTCGAAGTCAGATTGAGAATTGGGAAAAATCTGGATTGTTTACCTTTACTTTTAGCCACGCTAATTTACAAGTTGTGCTATCCGTATGTCTCCCTCCGCGAAACAAACCCCAAACAAAACTGTAATAACGTAAATATAAGCAAAGTAATCAGAAAATGTACGATTCAAAAGTTGAAAGAAACTGCATTAATATGACATGTTTTTGTTAGAATAGAGATGACTTTGATTTTGATTTCAAACTTCGTAACCAAAACAAACCAAAGGCAAAGAGTTAGACTATTCTCTAGATCTAGAATCTAGATATTAGATCTAACGCATTGCTTTAAATTGGTCAAAGATTTTTAAAAAAGCCTTTTTAACAACAAAAGTTGTCAAGTTACTTAGATACTGACGTGCTGATTCTAAATATGTAGTTAGATATCTAGTTTTTGTCTATCGATTTCCGATATTCTGGATTTTATAAGCGGAGGTAAGAATATCGAATAACAAGGGAAGTAACTTTTATTTTTTCCAAAAAAGTAATTATCCAAGAGTGTTATACTCGTATATTGACTAATATCATATTTATCAATTACATATTGTTTTAAAGTTTAATCTTCTTTGATTTATTTAGTTGATCATTTAGTACACGTAGTGATAGAGTTAATGTAAACAAAAATTCAAAAAGCAATGAAAGTGACCTAGACAGTGGGTTTTTTATTGTTTGATAAAGTGACTATCAAATTTCAAACCAATGTAACTTATTCAATAT